GCGCCACCATGCCCAGCTAATTTTTTGTATTTTTAGTAGAGACAGGGTTTCACCATGTTGACCAGGATGGTCTCAATCTCTTGACCTCGTGATCCACCCGCCTCAGCCTCCCAAAGTGCTGGGATTACAGGCTTGAGCCACTGTGCCCAGCACAGTTTTTGATATGTAGTTATTTTCATCATTGTTCTTTTATTTAGCAAATACTAATTGCCTCCTATGTACCAGATAGTGGGCGAGATGCTAAGAGTTTAGAGTAAGCAAAACACAGAACTAGCACTTAATGAGCTGATAGTCTAGTTGCAGAGATAGATATGTCAATAGATTATTATGTAACCATATAATAAGTGTTATATTTGAGGTATGTAAATACAAGGGACTGTCACAGAACAAACTCTGCCTCCTGGCATATAGGAAGGCTCCATGAGATGATATTTCATCCATCCATTCATTCATCCATCCATCCTTATAGTCATTTAACAAGCATTTATTGTACATCTATTTTACGTAAAGTCTTATGTGAGGTGCTGGAACTATGGCTAGGTCTTGAAGGATGTGAAAAAGATAGGATAATGGAACAAGGTGGGAGTAGGATTTTAAAGCAGAAGTATCAACCTATGCAGAGGCACAGAGGCACAGGGGAATGGAAATGCGTGACAAAGATGGAGTGATAGGGAGTAGCTAGTTACTGAGGGCTGTGTATAGTGTGGAAAGGTGTTTAGATTTTTGGGTTTTGGGTTGGAAATGAGAAGCCGTGGAACTAAAAGCAAAGAAAATAAGCAAGTTTTGTATTTGAGATGTATTCTGGCAGTAGAGTAAGTCTGAGACAGAGATGAGTTAAGAGGCTTTTGGACTAGGTTCAAAGCAAGCAAGGAGAGTAAATCTGGAGAGATGGAGATAGATTCAAGAGATACCTAGGAGTTGGAATCAGCAGAACAGAAGGATCCTGGGGAGTTTAAAAAAAGAAACAAAACAAAACAGAAAAGAGGCATAAAGGATCACTTCCAAGTTTCCAGCTTGACTGTATGACTGGATGAATGGATGGTGGTGCCATTGAGTAGGGTAACGAATACCGAAAGAGGCACAGGCTTTGGCAGAGAAGTTACAAGTTCGGTTTTAGATCAGGCTGAGCTTGCCAAAGAAAGTCCTAACCAAGAGCAACTGGTCTAAGGAAGCAGGAATAAGCAAAGGAGCATTTCTGGAAGTGGAGAGAGATCAGTGCCACCGCTAACCAATATGGTGCTTTCGAACAAGTTATAAAAAAGTACCTCTCCTCGGCCGGGCGCGGTGGCTCAAGCCTGTAATCCCAGCACTTTGGGAGGCTGAGGCAGGTGGATCACAAGGTCAAGACATCAAGACCATTCTGGTCAACATGGTGAAACCCCGTCTCTACTAAAAATACAAAAAATTAGCTGGGCATGGTGGCGCGTGCCTGTAATCCCAGCTACTCAGGAGGCTGAGGCAGAATTGCCTGAACCCAGGAAGTGGAGGTTGCCGTGAGCCGAGATCGTGCCATTGCACTCCAGCCTGGGTAACAAGAGCGAAACTCTGTCTCAAAAAAAAAAAAGTACCTCTCCTGGGCAGACCAGTTAGAAAAGGGCAACCTTTCTTCACAAGAGACTCAGCCACTTGGCATGGCAGGAAGCCCATGCTGGATTTCAGCCCATTCACCCCCTTGGCTGGGCATCTGTGTACAGTGCACAGATTGCACAACCATACACAGGAGCCTTGGGACTTATTTGGGTTTGGGGATGTGCCCTAAGGGCTCAGCCCATTGTTCACCAACAGAAAAAGGAGGCAGGAAACTGGGTTTGGCGCGGGGCTTGGTCAGGGAAGGAATCTAGTACTTGCCAAAGGATTTGGTGGTCAGGCCTCTTTCTAGTGGATTACGTTGAATCTCTGTCCTCACCTGTGAAAGGGGTTGCTATGAGCCCTCCCTATCACCTGAGGGCATTATGAGGACTCAGGGAGACCATGTATGTGAAGTCTTTCAGCCACCTCTGTGCCCCCAATTTCTAGTACCAGACATGGCACACAGGTTTAACCATTAAATGGTAAAAAGAATGGTTATGGTCAAATGAAGAGGTGCATGATGGTAAGCTGTGAATAATGTATACGTGGTAAGTGTTGTGACTAGTGAGAGAACATGAAGATAGTACAGGCAGGGAGGGACATCTTCAGGGGACCAGTGGTAAGAGATAATGGCAGATAAAGAGGGTGCTGGTCAGAGGTATCTGCTGTGGCATGGGGGTCTCAGAGCTTGGCCTTTGGAGTATGGTTAAAGAGAGGTGAACTGAGAATCAAAGCACCAAAGAACAGCAGAGGTGCCTGAGACAAGAAATCTGCTAGGTAGGCAGTCCCTTAGCTGATGTTACGGTTTGGGAAGAGTGAGGCAAAAAGAAGAATGTCATCCAAGGAGAAAGAAGTGGCTGTTGGGAAGGATTCTGTCATAGTGGTAGAGATTTGGAAAAAGCGAAGAGGTCTTATGCATGATGATGTGGAATCCCAGTGGCAAGAAACAGCAAGCTGATGGCATCCTGAAGTCTACTCTCCTCTTTCCTGTACTCCATAAGAATGGATGAAGACTGAGTGGGAGAACTGGAGGGTTTCTTGAGGGAACACAGCAGGTGATATATTCTAAGGGACACAGCAGGTGATATATTCCAGGTTTTACTCAGGACAAAGGATAGCCAGAAGAGATGAGCTCTAGATTGGTGTCCACATAGGTCTCTGAGAGTTTGATAGCTTGCTTGATCAATTGATGAACAAAATGCCTGCTATGGCCCAAATGGATCAGGTAGTTGAGGTCTCAAGGTTTGGTACAGTGACCGAGGAATGTAGGCGGCAAGACAGGTGTTTCTAAGCTGAGTGTGGTAGCTCATACCTCAAATCTCAGCACCGCGGGAGGCTGAGGCAGATGGATCACCTGAGGTCAGGAGTTCGAGACCAGCCTGGCCAACATGGTGAAACCCCACCTCTACTAAAGACAAAAAAAAATTAGCTGGGCGTAATGGTAGGCACCTATAATCCCTACTCGGAGGCTGAGGCAGGAGAATTGCTTGAACCCAGGAGGCAGAAGCTGCAGTGAGCTGAGATTGCGCTATTGCACTCCAGCCTGGGTAACAGAGTGACTCTGTCCCCCCCCAAAAAAAACAGACAAGTGATTGTAGTCACTTAGGCAACTTAGGTCTCAACTAAAGCAAAAAGGAAAAACGCATCTTCCTGAGAGACAGACCACTCCAAGCCCGAATTATCCAGGGCAGTAGCCGAGAGAAGCCGAGCAAGGCAGAGAATCTAGTCCCACAGACTCACAGACTTATTGAAGACCCAGGAAGCACTGGTAATAGAAGTTTGGCACTCTGTATTTCATAAGGACTTTTTATACATAGATCTAACTTAATCATCATAGTGATCCTCTGTGGTGGATATCTACATTTTAAAGATGACAAAATAGAGGCATAGAAGTTTCTAGAAGAAGCTGGAGTTACTTACCTAAGGGATATGAATTGATTTTTGTGAGTTGTTACCTTTTCAGCTGTCTGTAGTCTTCAGTTGGAGGCAGCTCGTGCTGACGTGGTTAGCCTCTATGTAACTGGCTATTCTAGCCTTTTAAAGAGCATTTGTCCTCTGTTAGAGACTAAGATTCCACCTCAGGTTAGATTGAAGATGCTGCAGAGGAATTTATCTCTTCCCCCAGACCCTGAGACTCAGAGGTATGGACAGGACCTGGGCTGTAGGCCCTGACCATAGTGTATGTGTGTGTGTGTGTGTGTGTGTGTGTGAGAGAGTATATGTGTGTGTGCACACAGACTGTGTCTGGGAGGGTTGCAGAATCAGTGTGTCCACTCTGGGGGTGTCCACCAAGCACATATATGCACATTTGTGTATGTCTCTATAGGTGTTCATGGCAAGAAGAATCAAAAAAGTGTTTCTTCTTTTTCTTTTCTTTAATTTTTTTGAGACGGGCTCCTCTGTCACCTAGGTTGGAGTATAGTGGCATGTTCTCAACTCACTGCAACCTCTGCCTCCAAGGTTTAAGCAATTCTTCCACCTCAGACTCCCAAGTAGCTGGGACTACAGGCATGTGCTACCATGCCCAGATAATTTTTGTTTTTTTGTTTGTTTTTTGAGATGGACTCTTGCTCTGTCCCCCAGGCTGGAGTGCAGTGGTGCGATCTTGGCTCACTGCAACCTCCATCTCCCAGGTTCAAGCAATTCTCCTGCCTTAGCCTCTCGAGTAGCTAGGATTGCAGGCATGTACCACCATGCCCAATTAAGTTTTGTATTTTTAGTGGAGCAGGGTTTCACCATGTTTGCCAGGATGGTCTCAAACTCCTTACCTAAAATGATTCCCCTGCCTTGGCCTCCCAAAGTGCTGGGATTATAGGCACGAGCCGCCGTGCCAGGCCAGTTTTTGTATTTTGAGTAGAGAAGGGCTTTTATCATGTTGCTGAGGCTGGTCTAAAATTCCTGAGCTCAAGTGATTCACCTGCCTTGGCCTCCCAAAGTGCTGGAATTATAGGCATGAGCCACTGTGCCTAGCCATGTTTCTTACTTCTCCCAACTCTTCCATTTATTCCTATTTTCAGGTTTTCCCTATCATTTCTTTTTTTCTCTCCTTTCCTTGTGAATTTAGACGGCATTGTGATTAAGTCCTCTGGCATAGGCCTTGTCACTTAGCTTTGTCATGTCAGAGGATTGGGTCCCTTTGTGGCTGAGAGTTTGTAACTTCAGTCAGTTGCTGAATAATCCAGAGTACTTATGCTGACAGTGGCCTGGGGGTGGGGGAGTGACGGGCAGAATTTGATGTACCTCACCTGACACTGAGCTTCCCATCAGCTGCCTGTGTCTGGCACCATCATGGTGGGTGGGACCAGAGGGTACCTGTGACCGCAGACAAACGTTTTTGTGGGGGGTGAAGGTAGAGCTTGGTCAGGGGAAGCTGAAGAAAGTCATACATCAGGAGCAGCTCAAGAGTTAGCCTTTCTGTCCCCTCTCTACAGCAACAGGTGAGAAGAAGGAAAGCTGGTCGTGGGAGTCCTACCTAGAGGAGCAGAAGGCCATTACTGCTCCGGTCAGCCTCTTCCAGGACGTGAGTTGGACAATTTCCACCTAGGAAGAGCTTGCCTTCCTAGTCCAGGGACACACCACCAAACTCAGGCCTTCTGGTATTTTCTGTGTCAGGCATGCCTCAGTGGACTGGCAGAATGGAAGGGAGAGAGTGTTTAGGGGCCTAGAGTGAAAAAGGGGCCACCATAAGGGGCTGGCAGGGTAGGAAGAAATAGTGGTGGACGCCAGGCTCACCCGTCACTGGGCCTGCAGACTTTTGAATTCTGGTGACTTCTACTCAGTTCAGCATTGATCTTTCCATGACTCTGGTGAGAGGGAGTCCTTGAGTCCAGCCCTGACTCACCCACATTTTTCAAGGGACCTGGGAGATAGTCTCTCTCTCTCTCTCTAGATCCCTGCAGTAATGACCCCCAAATAAGCTGCCCCTTTGGAAATACCAGGCGGGTGGGGCCTAAAGGCAGCTCCTTCACCCCAAGCCCACTAGGCAAGGATAAGGCTGGATGGAAGCTGGGTCCTCTCCACTCTGTGCGTTGACAGTCCCAGGCAGTCACTCACAACAAGAATGGCTTCAAACTGGGCATGAAGTTGGAAGGCATTGATCCTCAACACCCGTCCATGTACTTCATCCTCACCGTGGCTGAGGTGAGCTGGGGCTTGGTCCCACCTTTCTGATGATGTCTCTCAGTGTAGACTGATGGATCTTTCTGGGGAGATAGAAGGAAACACCTCCCTCCCCTCAGAGCACACATAATCTAGTAGGGGATTAAGTTAGAACACACAGAAAGCTTAAAAGAACAAAAACCAAGATGGAGTGTCATGGGACAATCCTGTTACTGGATGAATGTATACTGTCCACAGTGGGGGAGCTTGAGGAGATCCCGAGAGCAAGGGATATTGGCATGAGTCAAACAAGGTCCTTGTCCTTTAGAAGCTCACTGTTGTCTGGGGAGTCAGCCAGATAAACATATCAGCAACATGCCACAGGGTGGCAACAGACTTGATCTGGGAGGCACAACTGGGTCGGTTCTGTCTGAGGAGCAGGAAAAGCATAGAGGAAGGGCCTCCTTTGCAGAGTCTTGAGAGAGAAAGCTGTGAATAAGGAGGGAGTTCCAGGCAGAAGGAGCAAAGTGGGCAAAAGCCCTGGGGCGTGGAATAGACTGTCACCTTCAAGCAATTGCATTAGCTCAGCAAGACTCGAAGCAGAGTGTGAGTGGGGAGCAGTGAGAGAAGGTAGCAGAGGGAAGGGTCATCAGGAGCCCTCAGCAGTCCTGAGCCTTGGTGGCTGCCCTCGAATTTCTGTCCAGGACTCAAAAGGGCAAGGGACTGTCATAAAGTCTACCTCTCTTGCACCCAGGGCTCGTGAGTACCTGACTGTCCTCACTGCAGAATGGGACAGCATGGGTCAGAGTATAGGATGGGGTATACCTGGGAGCAAAGAAAGGTGGAGTTGGGGAACCTGCTAGCATTAGAGCCCCTGAGACCACCAGGCTGGGCCAGGAGAGGTGAGGGAGATAGGGAATGGGGCATCTCCTGGCATTGGAGTCCCTGATTCCCCTCATGGCGCCAGGTATGTGGCTATCGCCTACGTCTGCACTTTGATGGGTATTCTGAGTGCCATGACTTCTGGGTCAATGCCAACTCCCCTGACATTCACCCTGCTGGCTGGTTCGAGAAGACAGGGCACAAGCTGCAGCCTCCCAAAGGTAAGGCCTAGCTGGGTTGGTCACATTGAAGCAGCAAGTCCTCAGACCCTTCACTTCTTCCCCTTGGGTCCCCCAGCTTCCAGCTCTTGTGTTTTCTGACCCTGTACCCTGTTCCAAAGCCAGCCTCTCTTCATCACATCCTGATATGACTCTGCCCTGTGGCCAGGTTGACTAGAAAGAAACCCTGGGACTTCCGCTTTGCCCTTGCCCTTTGAGTATCTACCAAAGTCATGTCCTGCTTCAGTATGGGGGGATCCCTGGGCAGGTTCTTGAGGGTTGGGAGGGGTCCTCAGGCATGCCTGATTCTGCTGCTTCAGTGTGGGGTGCCCTCGCCGTGACCCAGCCTCTGCACAGTGCTCTGTTCATCCCCCTCGAGGGGCCTAGGTTACAAGGAGGAGGAGTTCAGCTGGAGCCAGTACCTGCGCAGCACGAGAGCTCAGGCTGCCCCCAAGCACCTGTTTGTGAGCCAGAGCCACGTGAGTGCCCCTGAGTGAGAGTGGACATCACCCCTATGTGCCAGAGTCACTGCAGCTGGCCCAAGGTAGCTGACTCATCAGAAGGGAGCTCATCTACTTGTTCTCTCAGCTTTGCTCTGATCTCTCATATCAGATGGGAGGGGCACAGCTGGGCAGGGTTTAGGGCCAAAGGTGAGAAGCTTGTTATAGGTTTTTCTGACTTCCCTCCCTCCTCTACTGCAGATACCCTATCCTCAACCTCCTTTTGCAGCCCCTGGCCCACTACTGTTGTCTGTGCACTGAGATGTCATTGCTCATATATTCTTGCTTTTTGGTTTGCTCTGCAGTTCTTTGGTGTAAGGTCAATGCCTGTATTCTGGGAGCTTTTTCTTTTCCTTTTGCCCAACATTGAGACTCTTCCATTCATTTCCAGCAATTCACCCCATCCTTTCCTGTGTTCATGACAGCTGGCAGCTTATCCAGCAGTTAAAGTATCATATAATCCCAAGCAAAAGGCCTAAGAGATATAGGGAGCCCCCTTAAAAATACTGTACTAGCCAGGTGTGGTGGCTCACACCTGTAATTCCAGCACTTTGGGAGGCTGAGGCAGGAGAATCACTTGAGCTCAGGAGTTTGAGGCCAGCATAGGCAACAGTAAGACCTTATCTCTACAAAAAATGTCACTAAATTAGCTGGGCATGGTGGCACATGCCTGGAGTCCTAGCTACTACAGTAGCTAGCTGAGGTGGGAGGATTGTTTGATCCCAGGAATTTGAGGCTACAGCAAGCAATGATTGCACCACTCCACTCCAGCCCGGGTGACAGAGTGAGACCCTGTGTCTAAAAAACAAAATTAACCATATTGAATGTCTAGAGTCCGCATGGGCCTGGGACTCCATGCTCTTTAGGCAGGGACAGTTACTTCCCCACCCCATTCCAGCCCTAGAGTTCATACTTTCAAGTTCCCAGGTGACAGATGGGGTCCCACCTGCTGTTGTGACAACGAATACTGACTTTTAATTCAAACTGTTTAAATACTGGTCCCGCCATTGACTAGCATTTTGTTCTGGGCCAAGTTATTTAACTTCTTAAATGGTAATAGGGTTGTTTTAAAGATCCAGGAAGGTGATATCTTTTGAAGCTTATGCCTGGTACATGGCAGGTACTAAACTACTGGTTCCCTGTCTGCCTCCATGCCATAGATGTCAGCTGTTTCTTCCTGGCAACCCCACTGTTGCCACAACTGCCTCAGGACAAGCTGGGTGAGGCTTGTCCGGATACGGAAGACTTGTACTTGGTTTGCCAGGTTCTTTGGGTGAATGCATAGCCTCCTTCTGGGCACCTACCTTCTGGCACAAACCAGACCTCCTCTGAGTGCATCTGGGAGGCCAGAGGTTCCTGAGTGCCTCAGAGCTCAGGTTATGATTAGCCCTGGAGGGCCCTCTTTCCTAGCTTATTTCTCCTTCCTTCCTCACTGCCCACACCCCAGGCTGTCCTAGAGAAGCTACTCCTTTGTTTGCCAGTAGGCTCTGGGCTTGTGCTAGGCAGCTTGGCTCTGGCCATGGCAGCCCCTCTTTTTCCCCTAGAGTCCCCCACCCCTGGGCTTCCAGGTGGGCATGAAGCTGGAGGCTGTTGACCGCATGAACCCGTCCCTTGTCTGTGTGGCCAGTGTGACCGACGTGGTGGACAGCCGCTTCCTGGTGCACTTCGACAACTGGGATGATACTTACGACTACTGGTAGTGGGAGGGCCCAGACTTGGCCTGGGTGGGTGAGGGGATGGCAGGGGGCAACTGCCTTCATATCTCAGGCACCATGTGGCACCACTTAGTCTAGTTCTGACATTCAGATCTTCTTGGGGTGGAGGATAATTGAATTGAGCTTTATCATAAGAAATACAGCTCAATGTTAAATGTATCATCTAAAAATACCATGATTAAGATGAGCAAACCCCTATGAGTCATGATTTTCCCTTAGATATTATGGTGATAGAGTTTATAACTCATCTTGTGAGTTTCTAGCTTTGTCATTGCCATCTGTCTCCCTCTCACTAAGAAGTAGATGAGGGTGGGCCCTGAGCCATGCTGTCAGAGGATGGCAGGCTCAGGGCTTCAAGTTTCTCTTGGGACAGTGACATGTTCTTGGGTTTCAGGTGTGATCCCAGCAGCCCCTACATCCATCCAGTGGGCTGGTGCCAGAAGCAAGGAAAGCCCCTCACCCCTCCACAAGGTGACGCTGCCGCCTGAGCAAGCCCTCTTTCCTAAGCGTGGCTCTATTTCCCTCTCCATTGACCCCTTCCCAGTAGTGCCTCAGTAGCTGCCTCTCTATGGTCAGGGTGAGAGAACAGACATGTCCTGAAGCCTCAGCTTCTTGGCCTGGGAGTTGAGAACTCTTTGATTTTAGGAGAGTCCAGTCGAATCCTGACTGCATTTGGGTTTAGGGGAAGAAAGGTACATGAGCATCTCAGCAAGGGAGCAGGGAGTCAGAAGTAAAGAAAACGAGTCCTTCCTCCTGGGAATATTGCATTGGCCCAAATACAGTAGAGATTCAAATGGGGCTGGGTGGGAGCAACAGGCCGAGAGTGACAGATGTCAGGGTTCCCAGACAGCCCTGTGAACTATTAGGGTGGTGCTGTGCTTGGTTCTACTAGCACACATCTGCCTGAGGAGTCCAGTGCAAGGAGTTGGCTGTGATGATGGTGGGGGAGATTCTGCTTCAAGGGCCTCTGTCCTTTCCATGTTCCTGGTCCCGCTTGGGGGCAGAGGGCTTCCCCAGTCTATCTGGGAGGCTAGACATTGCTCTCATTCTCTCCTACAGACTACCCAGACCCTGATAACTTCTGTTGGGAGAAATATCTGGAAGAAACTGGAGCCTCTGCTGTGCCCACTTGGGCCTTCAAGGTGGTGAGTCAGTGCTCCTTGCCCCCAGAGCTGAGCTCAGGAAGACATGGAGCACTCAGCTAGCCAGGCTGGGGCCCTAACCTTCTCCTTTGCGCAGGCCCCAGTTTCCCCAAGCACAGCATTTGGGCTCCCCTTGTGGGGCCTCAGCTCTGCTGAGCCGGGCCTTGGCCTGAAGGCAGCTGTCCCCTCTACAGCGACCGCCTCACAGCTTCCTGGTCAACATGAAGCTGGAGGCTGTGGACCGCAGGAACCCAGCCCTGATTCGCGTGGCCAGCGTGGAAGATGTGGAGGACCATCGGATAAAGGTGGCTCTGGGACCCTGGGACTGGGACATGGGCAGGCCAGTTGGGCAGGAATTCTGTAGACTGCTTAGAGGTCAAGGGCATCATTGCACAAGATGAATGACGACAAAGATCTTGGATCTCATTCTTGCCTCATCTGTGGCTTATTTTAGTGGACTTGGACAAGTTATTTTCCCTCACTAAGCCTTAATCATCTGTAAAATGAGCCTAATAATCCTTGTCCCACCCAAGGATTGCTAGTGAGAGGTGCCAGTAACTTAATGAGTGAAGCCCTTGGGAAATGTAACCAAGGCTGATTATTGTAAGGTTGGCCCCCTGGTTCTTCCAGTCCAGGATCTTGCTTGTGACAGGTCCCAGGGGTGGGGGAGAGTCTCCTAGAGCTGAGCTTGGCTTCATGAGAAATGCCTGACTTCCAAGGGCCTTTCCTTCCCAGATCCACTTTGACGGCTGGAGTCACGGCTATGATTTCTGGATCGACGCTGACCACCCAGACATCCACCCTGCTGGCTGGTGCTCCAAGACAGGACATCCTCTGCAACCTCCTCTCCGTGTGTAACCCTAAGGCACTCTGATCTTTTCCTTTCCCCCTAGGTTCTGATAGTCCTATAGTTTACGGAGGTAAACCTCTGACCTCCCATGCCCAGGTATGACACAGAGGGCTCTAATACCTACCATGAGTTCTGAGATCCCCCAACCACCCCACCCAGGACTATGCTACACTAAGCGGTGCTTCTGGCTACCTCAGTTGTTGGCGTTTGGGGTGTCGAGGTTCGAAGGGGCAAGCTCACTTGGTTGCATGTGCTTCAGAGGTGGTTAGGCACCCGGAGATTTCTCATCTAGCAGAACCACACTGAGCATGCACTATGTTTGCTAAGGAAATGCTGGCTTCCTAAAGTAAATTTTGATTGTCTGTCCAGACAGAGGTTAGAGTTCAGGTTACTGGGCTGCTCAGCCCCATTTTCACCCTTAGGATTTCCCTTCTTTATTTCCTTGCTGCCACCATGTTTGTCTTACATGGGGTGTTGATCGCCTTGAATGTTCTCCAAACATGGGCAGAGCCTTAAAAAAGTTGCCAAAGTCTTGGGGATGAAAACAAGAAAAAGAACTGAGAGTAACATGAATCTGGCTGATGTGGCTTCTAAGGTACGGCTACAACCAACCAGCTCTGAATGTCTCTTCTCTCCAAGGGTTCTCTCAAAGACAGGGCATGGCCTGCAGGTTTCACCAAAGTATTAACATATGAGAGCTAAGCCTTCCTTCCCCAGAAAGGGGCAGATATCTAGTTGCGGAGAATGGTGTCACAGCTGACACAGGACCCTCGTCCGTGGGGAGCAGGTTTCTAGTGAAACTGCTCCTTCCCTGCCCTGCACTCCCCACTCCCAGGAGTCCATGAGGACCCTCTCCTTTCTGCTCTTCTAGGACCCAGAGAGCCCAGCTCTGCCTCCCCTGGGGGCTGTCCCCCTCTCAGCTATAGGAGTCTGCCCCACACTAGGACCTCCAAATACAGCTTTCACCATCGGTGAGTGAAGGCTTCTGCTGAGAGACCCTCAGTATTGTTTTACATCTGCATGCAGCCAACTGGGGTCCACCAAGACACTCTTCAGATGGGGCCAGGGGTGGGGAGGGCTCAGTGGGACCAGTGGATTCAACCCAACTTAAGCCTTCTTCTTCTCCAGGAAGTGCCCCACTCCTGGTTGTGATGGCTCTGGCCATGTCACAGGCAAGTTCACAGCCCACCATTGCCTCTCAGGCTGCCCACTGGCTGAAAGGAACCAGAGCCGGCTGAAAGCAGAGCTGTCTGACTCGGAGGCCTCAGCCCGCAAGAAGAACCTCTCAGGCTTCTCCCCAAGGAAGAAGCCTCGCCATCATGGCCGGTATGGAGGCCAGGGACTCAGGGCCCGGGCTTCCTGGGAGTCTGGGCGGGGCCAGGCACTGATACCCTGCCACAGACCTGGTCCCTCTCTCTCCAGAATTGGACGCCCTCCAAAGTATCGGAAGATTCCGCAGGAAGATTTCCAGAGTAAGTCTAGTTATCTGCTCCTGTGTCCTCCTCTACGGACCGTTCACAGCGAGTGCTCTGTCACTGATGGATGAGACACCAGGATTTCCCAGAGTGGGAGAAGCTGGAAGGAGGGCTGTGCCTCTTCGTTTGAGATACTGAGAGCACAGAGCAGTGGCAGGAGCACTGCAGGGAACTTGAGTGACCTGGGGTTCCAGTCTCTTGTCCCCCATGGCCTTGCTCTGAGTCTGTGGGGAGGGCACAGAGCCTCTCGGGGCCTTTGGTTCTCACTGTGAGGCAGGATGATGCCCCTGCTCTTCTCTGATTCTAGGCTTCCTGGGAAGGAGGCCGTGACTATCACTTTACTTGTGTGACGTTAAGCAAGTCACTTAACATCTTTGAGCCTCAGTTTCCTCACTTGAAAAACTGGATAAAACCTGTCTTTCTTTTGTCAATACCTGAAATAACAGTGGTTACAACCACTACTTACCGAGCACCTACTATGGGCCAGACACTGTGCCAGATGCTTTACACATACTATGTCTAACTCTCACAAGAGTTCTCTAATATGTATATTGTTCTTTCTTTCTGTGAGAAGAGGAATGTGAAGCTCAGAGGGTGAAGTTACTTGCTCAAGGTCATTCATCTTGTAAGGGGCAGAGCTGGCATTCCAACTCGGATCTGACCTGACTCCTCCCGCTGCGTGCTACTGGTATAAGAGATATGAAGCACCTAACCCAAATGTCAGTTCACTTTGCGCTCCCTTGCATTAGTGTGCTTGCTACCATAACAAAATGCCATTGACTGGGTGGCTCAAACAATAGAAATTTATTGTTCACAGTTCTGGAGGCCAGAAGTCCAAGATCAAAGTGTTGGCAGGCTTGATTTCTTCTGAGGTCTCCCACCTTGGCTGGCAGATGACTGCCTTTTGCTGTGTTCTCACGTGGTCTTTCTTCTGTGCACGAGCATTCCTGGTGTCTCATGGTGTGTCCAAGTGTCTCTTCTTGTAAGGATACCAACACAATTGGATTAAGGCCCATCCTAATGACCTCATTTTAACTTAATCACTCTTTAAAGGCCCTTTCTCCAAATGCAGTTCCATTCTGAGGCACTGGGGGTTAGGGCTTCAGCATATGAATTTTGTAGGAACACATTTCAGCCCACCACATGCTTCAAGGGGTAGGCCATAGTGACTGAGCCCTCTCCTGGGTGGTGAATTTATCTTAAATCTTCATCCGCTAGTACAGGGCCTGATATACAGCAGGGTTACCAAATTGAATGGAATGCATGTCGGTTTTTTTTTTTTTTTCTTGAGACAGAGTCTCCCTCTGTTGCCCAGGCTATAGTGCAATGGCACGATCTCAGCTCACTGCAACTTCCACCTCCTGGGTTCAAGTGATTCTCCTGCTTCAGCCTCCTGAGTAGCTGGGATTACAGGCATGTGTCACCATGCCCAGCTAATGTTTGTATTTTTAGTAGAGACAGGGTTTCACCATGTTGGTCAGACTGGTCTTGAACTCCTGACCTTGTGATCCACCTGCCTTGGCCTCCGAAAGTTCTGGGATTACAGGCGTGAGCCACCACGCCCAGCCTTCATGTTGTTTTAAGGCCAAAAGAGATCTTGAGAAATCACCTGGTTTAATGTGCCTTTGGCAAGACCCAAGCTGTTCCAGTTCTTCAAGAACAGTCTCTGTAACCTGGGAAGTAAGTCACATAGAGATGAAAAGCATAGCCCTGAAGTCAGACTACCTTTTACAGGCCGAGAGATCTTGGGCAAGTGGCACTGCTTCTCTGAGTCTCATCTTCCTTTTCTGTAAAATGCTGATGATAATTGTACCCACCTTATGATGTGGCGAGAGGCTTAACTGAGACGCTCTATGTGAGGTGCTTAGCAGAGCTCCCTGCCAGAATTATTAGTCTGAGTTTCTTGCCTCACTCCCTCTTGCTGTCATCTCATACTGTTTCCTCTTTGTGGGAACAGAATCAATTTCTTAAGCCTGAGGCCTGAGTGATGAGGGTCTTGGCCAGCGCCTAGACCCTCAGAGTAAGGACTCCTAAGGATCAAATTGCTGTGGGCACCTCTCGTATCCACCTGTGGTACCCATGGTCAGGTTCACTGCAGGACCAAGTTCTGTCCACCAGAGGGCACTTGCCTACTGTGCATCCCAGAATCCAGCTGCAGAATTCTCAGGAACCTAACATCTTTCCAGAGGTTGAGACCGTGGCTCAGAGCAGGCAAAGAAGGACTCACTCAGAGCCTTGAGGCACTTCAAGATTAGAGCAGGAGCCATTGCCCAGGTCTTACTTCTGCAGGGCTCTCCTGCTCTTCCAGCTGGCCTCTCACCCAGAAGAGCCACTGGTCTCTGTCAGTGTTCCAGAGGCAACTTTTTACACACTCGTGGGTAGAATTCCTTAGTGTAGGCTCTGGGGTTTGCTGGTGAACAGTTTCCTAGGAAGGGCAACCTGGAGAGGACAGGGCTTGGCTGGGCTTAGTTTTTAGGCCTCGTAGTATCAGCTACTTGAAGGAACCAAGGAGCCCTGTCTGAGGAGCCCTGTCTGACCTGCAGCTGGATAGTTTGCAGTTAGGTAAGACACTGTAACTGCCGTTGAACGCTCCTGGCCTGTGCTCTTCCCTGTGCCCTGGGGAAGAAAGATAAAGAGAGAAGCTTCGTACAAACTTGGTGTTATCTCCCAAACCCTATCCCACGGTATGAAGGGGACCAGATACAGGGTTTCAGAGAGGAAGTGCCTGGGTAGACCAGAGGTCAGACCTGTGGCCAGGTAGATGAGGTACCAGAGGGTAGTTCTCATGGGAGATGCTGCGTGTGCCCCAGACAGGCCATGAGAGGAGCTGGCTGGGCAGGGAAATGGGGTTGTCTGGGCTGTAGGCAGGTATTAGGGTTTCGCTGATGAACAGAGAGGGCAGCAGTGGCACAGGAAGAAGTGTGGTTGGTAGGGCTAGGGATAGAATCCCAGAAGCTCTGTGGGTGAATGAATGGGGGTGGAAGAGCCAGGCTGAAAGGCCAACACTAAGGGAGAGAAGCCAGGACAATCTGTGACCAACAGGGAGGGTCTTTGATAAAAGGGCACTGGAGGTGCTGCATTGATGAACATCTGGAATTCCAGCAGAATGAACACCAGTAGAATAAAAAGCCAATGCTCCTGGACCATGGGCAGAGGCTGGGAAAACCCCTTGGGAAAGTGGCCACATTGCACGAGGCCAGCCACAGCCAGTAGCAGTGAGTGGGGCCAGGTTTGTCAAAGCAGCCAGAGGGGGATGAAGTCCAAGTTGACAAGTGCCAGGAGGCCCACCAAAGAGGAAGCCAAACTGAGCAGTGTTGGTCACCAGCTCAGTAGAGCTGCTTGAGGCAAGAGGTTGGGGCCAGTGATCCCAGAGACAGACCAGGAAACAAAGAAACCACAGGCAACGTGGAGCTGGGGAGCTGGTCAGGGATCACCCCTAGTGCTGGCATGGGCAGTAGTGCAGACTAGGCTGGAGGAGGAGGAGGAACTGGAGCTTGAGGCAATGGCAGTGGCCCGAGGGGTGGTCTTCAGCGTGGTCAGAGGACTGTGATCCTGCAGCAGAATCACCCTGGCTCTGAGAAAGTTGGTTGTGGGCCAAAAGGACTCATGAAAAGAATAAACAGAATGGATTTCTGACATCGAGGCTGAGCGTGCTTGAATGTTAAGGACACTTTTGATGCATGGCATCTAGAAAACAACATCTTTAGAGATGCTGCAGCAGCTCTAAGAGAGTGTCCTTGCAAGGCGCAGGGTGGCACAGCCTCAGAGAGATGGGGTGAGGGTCATTCCAAATAGCTGACCTGAGATTCTCTAAAGTGAGAGGCCCACTGTACCAGCAGGAGTGAGCACTGGGTGAGGAGTGAGGAGATATGGCTCACCCTCTTGACTTTATAGGCTGTCAGGCGGGGTCTGGGGTCCTGTCTGCCAGCCAGTCTCCCAGGTAGCTTGGGTATGCACAGGCTTTGGGAACAGTTTAGTCCTCAGTGTTGGCCTGCCAGCCTCTGCCTCTGCTTTCCAGCCCTCACACCTGATGTTGTGCACCAGTCCCTCTTCATGTCAGCCCTGTCGGCCCACCCTGACCGCTCACTCTCTGTGTGCTGGGAGCAGCACTGCAAGCTCCTGCCAGGAGTAGCAGGCATCTCGGCCTCGACGGTTGCCAAGTGGACCATCGATGAGGTGAGGAGCAAGGGCCCTTCTTTATCCTCTTCCCCTCCTCCTCCCTCTCACCATACCCTGGTGAGAAGGCCCAGGAAAGGCCCAGGTCAGGTAGAACCTGGCACCATTCCTGATACAACCTCATGCTCGTCTGTCCTGTGTACAGTCCCTTCTAGCTGCCAGTGGGGGCTGACTGAAACACTTCCTGATAGGCCCATCATGGCAGAGGGGGAGGGGGCTGTGCTACTAGTTCAGCCAGAAATCCAGCAGGAGAGGCAGGCTTCAGTCCCAGGCCTCAGAAGCAAGAAGCCCAGCTTGTCCATCTGCCAGCATAGAAACCCTAGGATCCTTTTAGGCTGGTGAGAAAAAGCAGCATTGGCACAGCTCAGAGCACCTAGGCCATGGAGGCCAGCCCTCCCTTCATGCCCAAGCTCTGCCCCTGGTCAACATGTCATCTTTGGTTTCCAAGGTCTTCGGCTTTGTTCAGACCCTGACAGGTTGTGAGGACCAAGCACGTCTCTTCAAAGACGAGGTAAGGTGCAAGTGCAGAGTGGGAGACAGAGCCGGGGTCACTGTGTCCTTAAGACGGCAGGAAGCAGGTGCCTTCCCCAGCGCTGCCTCAGCTAGGGAGGGATCCTTGTTGCCCCACTGGGCAAGAATAGTCAGAGTGACCCACGTCTCTGGGAAGAATATTGTCTGGACTGTGGTCCAGCTTGGGGACCTTGTGTGCTCAGATCTTCAGGAAGGAAACGGCATCCTGGAGACAGGAGTCCATTCACTCCTCTGCTCTCTACCCACTTATTGGCTTGCCAAACTTAGCTTCACCTGTGATAGTAAATTAAAGTGTACTTTTTCCCCATTAATCCAATACACCCGATAATTAAAGTGTATTTTGAATGACACAGGTATTGTGATTTACTGCAAGGATCCTAACACACACTTAAAATCAAGACCCAAGGAGTAGTGAGTTGTAGATAAAAAAAGCATGTCAGCTTTGGAGACAGTCTGGTTTTAAATCCCAGTTCTCCCAATCTGAGCTGTTTACTATCTCTGAGCCTGCATCTTCTTGTCTGTAAAGCCGAGATAAAGTGGGTATAATGAGGTCTACCTTGCAGAGCCATTGTGAGCGTTGGAAATGATGAATGAATCATACCAGAATGTCTAGTATAATTACAGCCATGCATTGCTTAACGATGGGGATATATTCTTAGAAATGTGTCGCTAGGCAGTTTTGTCATTGTGTAAACATTATAGAGTGTACTTACACAAACCTAGATGTTATATATATTTTTATTTGTATATTTTCACACAAAAATGTCCCAGCATTATTACTGGATATCAGTCATTTCCCTTTTTGATCTGCAGTGTCAGTATCAAGGGCCGTGTATCAGGTTTCTATATTTATTCCATTGTAATCTTAGGGGACCATAGTTGTAAATGCGGAATCACGGACAGAAATGTCTTTATGTGGCCAATGGCTGTCTATCACTAGTTTATAATACAGCAATATTATGGAGGAATACATAGATCCAATCACTTTGCCTGTACAAAATGACTGATACAGTGGGGGTACAATAAACACCAGTTCTGACTTTTAATGCATACTTGCCCTTAAGTAAAGAACTTTGTTGGCCGGGTGTGGTGGCTCACACTTGTAAGCCCAGCACTTTGGGAGGCCGAGACAGGCAGATCACCGGAGGTCAGGAGTTCAAGACCAGCCGGGCCAACATGGTGAAACTTTAACTCTACTAAAAACACAAAGTTAGCCGGGTGTGGTGGTGTGTGCCTGTAGTCCCAGCTATTTGGGAGACTGAAGTAGGAGAATCGCTTGAACCCAGGAGGTGGAGGTTGCAGTGAGCTGAGATTGTGCCACTGCACTCCAGCCTGGGTGACAGAGCGAGACTTCATCTCAAAAAAAAAAAAAAAAGAACTTTCTCATGACTTCTCATTTGTAGAATTTGAAACTGGAAGGGACATTTGAGTTTGTTTAGGGTTTCCTTCCTTCCAAAGAATACAAACATCCCTCCCATACATCCCCTTTGCCCAGGAAAGTATGGTCTCAGTTGCCCATGGCTGCCCACTCCAGACCAGGTTCTTGTAAGAAAGTACTTGGCTCCTCTTTCCCTGGAAGAGTGTCTGTATCCAGGCCCAGCACAGCCAGTTTTCTTCTTTGAGCTGTGTGTGATGGAGCTCCCAGACTCCTCCTGTGCTGGGTACTTTCCTTGTCCTCTGGGTTGGGATCTTGTCTTCATGTGCATGTCCAAAGCTGAACTCCTGTTTTCAATGGCCTCTGGCTGACACAGAACATGCTGGGTTGCTGATTCCCTAGATGTGTTTTAATTGAGATTAAATGTCTATAGAGAGATAGGCACACATCTTAAAAGTACAATTCACATGTTTTATGACATGTCTGCCCTTGAATCCAAAACTTCAATCAAGATATAGACATTTCCTCTGGTGTTAAGAAGTCATACCAAAAAAATTAAAAAGAAAAAAACATACAGATATTTCCATCATACCAGAAAATTCTTTCTCAGCCCCTTTTAGTCAGTCCACACCCTAAAAGACAACCACTCCTCTAATTTCTAGCACCATAGATTAGTTTTGCCTGTTCTTGAACTTATATAAATGTAATCATACAGCATGTACTCTTCTAGGTCTGTCTCTGCTCAGTGTCATGTTTTTGAGGCTTCTCCATGTTGTTATCTCTACCTTTAGTTTGTTTAACGCTGACTGGTGCTCCATTTTATGCATATACCACAATTTGTTGTTAACAGACTTTAGGGTTATTTTCCCTTCCCCTAGATTTGAACCCTATTTTTTTGTTAGCAAAACTTAAGTTTGCCTTAGCTTAACTAGTTTGGGGTTCATAAAAGCCCCCAGGTGCTTTTAATGTCAACTATCGTCTAACCAAGTTTTCCAGTGAGTACTTGTACCACTGAGCTTTTTTTTTAAATTAACATAATGTAAAACTTTACATCTACCTATTAAATGTTACCTGGTTGGTTTCATAGCCTTGTTGTTTTAAATCTTGATTCTGTCATCTATGATGTTAATAAGGCTTTCCAACCTCATACAACTTGCACATTTGATGACTAAGCCTTCTGTGTCTTTGTCCGAGTCTTCACATGTTTTATGAGACAGCAGAACCATGTGGCACCCCGTTTGACCACAGGTCATAAATCAGCACTCTTCGAATGTAGTTGCTCAGCCAGCTGCAGAGCCACCCAAGCTTTTATCCTCCAGCCTATGCATGGCTTTGCATTTTCCTCTTACTGGGACAAGGGCTATGTTTCCCGAGAATATCTGCTGTATCTCTCAGTCCAACACAGTCTGTCATATAGAAAACTAGTGGCCAAAGGGGAGAAGGTGTACTGATAGACTGCCAGCATCACATAGAGACTTGGAGTGGAGCAGGACCTGTGTGGGTGTTGATCACCATCTCCAGGGTCTGGCCCATGTCATCAGTTTCTCCAGGTAGGATGATGCTCCAGCAGTGGGCTCTCTCTGGCTTAATTGATGATTCGGCATTCAGGGATGCCAGTCAAGATGCTCTCCATCTGGGACACAGACCAGCCAGTGGAGGGTTGCTTCATGAGCGAGGAATTAAAGCAGAGTGCATAGATGGTCTTATGGTTGTTCTGTACTGATGGCCCTAAGAGTAGTTTGTCCAAAATGTCTTACCAATAAGTGCAGAGTAGTTAAAAATAAAATAAAATAAAAAAGAGTAGTCTGTCCAGTCCTCTCTTCATTATCTTTATTGTAGTCATTGTGCATTTGTCTCATTCATCAGCAAATAATTATTGATGTCTACTTTGTGCCTGGCCCTGTATAAGGTGATGTGATACTGAGGCAAATGAGAACAGGTCCCTGCTCTTAAGGTTCCCTTCACGGTAGGGGAGATAAAATTGTAAGTTGTTGCTCCAATGGAGTGTGGTGAGGGCGCTGTGCTCCCAGGCCCTGACGTGTGCAGGTATCCTGGGAGCACAGAGGAAGGGGAGGACAGAGAGGGGCAGACGAGCTGTGCTAACAGTGCAGCTGGATGGACACAGGCAGCTTCCTGCTTCCCACATGTCCCATTGTCTTGGACTCCCGGTAGACCACACCTTTCTGCTGTGAAAGCATAGAAGTCCCAGTCAGGTTTTGAAAGTGCTAATTAGATTTTAGCTTGGCCTGTGTTAAACATTCCATGTGTGGCTCTCTTAAGATCCATCCAGATTACCTCAATTTTAGGAAATTCCCCGGACCTCTCTACAGCATTGCAGGCTATTGCTTAGGGTAGATTATTGCATGGCTTATTTTATCCATTTTTCTGTTGATTTCCTCTGCCTTCAAGGTCAGAACATGACCTTTTTCCTCATCATTTAGCTCAAAATTCCCCATACCCATCAGCACACAGACAGCATCTTAGATTTTCCGAGGTCATCCCATTGACCTCTTGCCTAGTCTCAAACCGCCAGACCACAGACTCTGGTCTTTGCTTTGAAGAACCTGGATCCTGGGCCTTGGCCATTACCATGGGTGAGAAATCTTGGACGATACACAAAGAACCATATACCAGTGGGCTCTCTGAATGATAAGAAATGAACTCCTAGCCGGGGCAGTGGTTCATGCCTGTAATCCCAGCAATTTGGGATGCTGAGATGGGCAGATTATTTGAGGTCAGGAGTTCGAGACCAGCCTGGCCAACATGATAAAACCCAGTCTCTAGTAAAAATACAAAAAAATTAGCCGAGTGTGATGGTGCATGCCTGTAGTCCAGCTACTCAGGAGGCTGAGGCAGGAGAATCGCTTGAACCTGGGAGGTGGAGGTTGCAGTGAGCCAAGATCATGCCACTGCACTCCTGCCTGGGCACAGAGCAAGACTCTGTATCAATAAAATAAAAAAGAAATGAACTCCTATAAGAATCCATACTTAACTCTGCCTAGGGCTCCTTTCCTTCATATTCTGAACTTCCAAGATCTCCCTGGCCAGGCTCTATGATTCAGTGGAACCATCAGGAGGGAGCCCCAGAGGCCAGGCACAGTGGCTCACATCTGTATTCCCAGATATCAGGAATTCGAGACCAGCCTGGCCAACATGGTGAAACCCTGTCTCTACAAAAAATACAAAAATTAGCCAGGCATGGTGGCACATGCCTGTGGTCCCAGCTACTTGGGAGTCTGAGGTAGAAGAGCCATTTGAACCCAGGAGGCAAAGGTTGCAGTGAGCCAAGATCAGGCCAGTGCACTCAAGCCTGGGTGACATAGCAAGACTCCATCCAAAAAAAAAAAAAAGAGGGGGAGCCCCAAAGCCAGACCAGCATGGGGTATCTGAATCTGAATCTGGATGTTTCTGCACAGATATATCTGCTGGGAGTCAGCAAAGAGAGCTCCTCAGGTCCAAGGGAGCTGCCTCCTGGGATGACCACGTGGCATCTCCCTCACAGCTCCCAGTGTCCAGGCAAACAGTATCTCCGGTGCGTCCCCATCAAGGAGGTCCTGGAGAGAGAATGGAATGGCAGACTCCTTGAGAGGGGGAAATGTGCTTTTTCACCAGACCCTGGTCTTAGACCTGGGAAGCTCCTTTTCACTTGAAGGGTCATGTTAGAGCATTAGAAAGGAAGCTCAATGCAGTTACTCTTATCTGGGTGTTTGGCTATTAGACTTTTCATTTTTTTGGAGGGGGAATAACAGAAGTGCCAGTTTTCAGAGCCTCTTTGGTTAGGGAATAGAGAAGGATCAGGTAACTGTTTTCTCAGAGCTGCTGTGGGGAGATATGTATGGGGTTCATTGTCCCACCCCGTCCTGCCTCCGTTTAACCTCTAAGGTTGCCAGCCTCTCTGAGATACAGCCCTGTTGTCACCACACCTCAGAGATCCTTTCATTCATTCTTTCTGGATTTACTGAGCACCTGACCCGTGTCAGGTAAGCAGCCCTCTGGTGCTCCTGGAAGACAAATGAAGAATTGTGTACCATTCAGGGGAGTTTGTGGAACTGAGCAAACTCCAGACAGGGCAGAAGTGGGCAGTTCTGACTGCTGGGAGAAGCACACTGACAGTGAACAGACCTGCCTGGCAGGGGTGGTGGAGGGAACAGAGCAGCAAGGCAGAAGACACCCAGTGATTGGGGAAGGGTCTGTAGTGGAGCTAGGTGTGAGGAGGGCTCACGTGGAACTGTAGGGCAAAGCCAGGCTTGGGCGGCATAGCCCCCTGGGCTACATGAGTCATGCCCATAGATATTCCTGCCCAGCTCTCACAGTGGTTAAGAACACAGGCCAGCACTTAAAAGCTAGGTGTATTTTGGGAAAATTCTGTAACCTGTCTGCCTCAGTTTCCTCATCTGGGCGGCATAGCCCCCTGGGCTACATGAGTCATGTCCATAGATATTCCTACCTAGCTCTCACAGTGGTTAAGAACACAGGCCAGCACTTAAAAGCTAGGTGTATTTTGGGCAAATTCTGTAACCTGTCTACCTCAGTTTCCTCATCTGTATAATGGGGATAATACTGGTATTGTTTCATAGGGTTATGTGAGGATTAACTGAGTTAATACGTGGCAAGTGCTTAGGAGCAGCGCCTGGCACATAAGAAACAACATAGAAATGTGCCGGCCAGGCACGGTGGCTCACGCCTGTAATCCCAGCACTTTGGGAGGCTGAGGCTGGCGGATCACAAGGTCAGAAGATCGAGACCATCCTGGCCAACATAGTGAAACCCCATCTCTACTAAAAATATAAAAATTAGCTGGGCATGGTGGCACATGCCTGTAATCCCAGCTACTCAGGAGGCTGAGGCAGGAGAATTGCTTGAACCCAGAAGGCAGAGGCTGCAGTGAGCCAAGATTGCGCCACTGCACTTCAGTCTGGCGCCTGGTGACAGAGTGAGATTCTGTCTCAAAAAAAAAAAAAAAAAAAATAAACAAAAAAAAAGAAATGTTTTCTGTGCTATGATGCTTGAGGACTGAGCATAGGAGAGATGGCATCTCCTCAAAAACAAGGTCCTTCAGCTCAGTCTCTTGACCCCCACAGCCTGCCTCCCAGCTCTCTTCATTTCATCCCCTCTCCTACAACTGACTTCCTTCCTTGACTCTACCCACATACCTAGCTGCTAGAATTAACAATTACCAACATTTTCCATATTTGCTTCACCTATATTTGGAAGAAGTAATTTTAAGTGAATTTTAGGCATCATGGCATTTCACCCCTGAAGATATAACTTGCATCTCTAAAAACTAAGGACTTTCTTTACATAACCACCATACTGTTACCGCACTGCCAAATTGCCAGTAACGCCTTTATACCATCCAATACCCAGTCTCCATTCCTATTTCCCCAGTTCTCAGGATATTTTATGCAGTTTTTGAGCCAGAATCCAAACACCACCCATATAATTGGTTTTGTTTTTTATGTCTCTTAATTATCTTCTATTCTAGAAGAGCCTCCTCTCCTTGTTTTCCCCCTTTTTAAATGACATTTTTAAAAGTCTTTCAGAAGGTGGTTTTTTTTTGGATTTGTCTTGTTGCTATCCTGTGGTGTCACTTAACTTGTTCCTCTATCCTTTGTATTTCCCATGAACTGAAAGTTAGATCCAAAGGCTCATTTAGACTTAGGTTAAATTTCTGTCACCATCTCTGTTTCTCTCTCTCTGTCTCTCTCTCTATATCTCTCCTCCTGCCCCCTCTGCTTTTGGAAAGACTAGCTCCTAGGTGATACTGTGTACTTTATACTGCCTCGTGTCAGAATGCACACAATTTCTGCTCGTCTTGCTGTTAGCAGCACTAAGATTGGTCGATGAGGTCATGTGGGGACAACAACAGCAGGTTTCTCAAAGCCACTATCTGTGAGGACTCAAAAGACATTTTGCAAATACAAATGCTAAACCTCAGACCAGTTAGCAGAAAGAGAGAGAGAGAACATGTGTGTGAACACAGGGAAACCAGTGGCTGTCTTTCTTTCCTTCTCCGTCCCATTGCTGTCTTCCTTTTTTCCTTTCTTCCTCCCTTCTCCTTTCTCCCGGTCCTTTCTCTTCCCCTCTCTCCTCCTTCCCTTTCTCCCGCATATCCTTTACTCCTACTCCCCTCCCCGACTCCCCATGCATACCCCTGCCTTTCCTTCACCCCTGCCCCATGACCCTTTCCACCTTCTCCACTTTCCACCTCCCTTCCCCAACCCCTCAGATGATTGACGGCGAGGCCTTCCTTTTGCTGACACAGGCGGACATTGTGAAGATCATGAGCGTCAAGCTGGGCCCAGCCTTGAAGATCTATAACGCCATTCTCATGTTCAAAAACGCCGATGACACCTTAAAGTGACTGGCTCTGGGCTAGGCCCTCCTGCGGCCCCTGCTTGGCCTCCCTCCGCAGCTGATGCTTTCTTCCCAACCTGAGTTCCTCATTCCCTGACCCATCCCCATGCTCCACCTGTATCTGACCAGGGCTGGTCCTTCCTAGACGTTGCGTGGGAACTGAGGAGCCCTGGGGAGGGTGGGTGTCCAGCCCCAAGTCCTGGAGCTCATTCGCCAGGTGAGGTGAGGGTGTGACTTGTGGGGGCTTTACTCATGGAGTCAGTTGGACTGTGGCAGCCCCACGGCCCCAGCAGAATTTTATTTTATTACCAAAGGGTTGTCTTCTTAGCAGTTGAGGAGAGTCTAGTAGAGTAGCAGTCCTTCAGTCTGAGGCCCCTTTCCCTTTTTGGTGTCTCTGTGTACTTTTCTCTCCTTAGCTCCTTTCCTTCTGCCAAGAAGTGACCCTGCCACAAA